ATCTCTTGATTTTCTAGATGGTTTCATATGTCTGTGCCTCTATGTTTGTGTTTTGATTGCTGTGGACTAAGAGCCTTAAGTCTAATAGAGTGATGCCTCTGAGTTTGTTTTTATTACTAAAAGTTGCTTTGGCTATATAGGGTTTTTTCTGGTTCCATACAAAAGGAAGAACTATTTTTTCTGTTCTTCAAAGTATGATGTTTGTATTTTAATGGGGATTGCATTGAATCTGTAGATTGCTCTGGGTAGTATAGACATTTTCTCAATGTTGATTCTTCCCAGTCAAGAGCATGGTTATGTTCTTCCATTTGTTAATGTCTTCTGCTGTCTTGTCTTAGTGTTTTAGAATTCTCTTTGTATAGATCCTTCACCTCTTTTGTTAGGTATATTCCTAGGTATTTCATTTTCATTGAAACTACTGTGAAGGAAATTGTGTCCTCATTTGCTTCTCAACATGGCTGTTATTGGTGTATACAAAGGCTGCTGATTTATGGACATTGATTTTTATACCCTGAGACATTACTGTATTTCTTGATCACTTCCAGGAGTCTTGTGGTTGAGTCTCTGGTGTTCTCTAAGTATAATAACATATCATTGGCAAAGAATGAGAGTTTGGCCTCCTTTGCCCTTGTTTGGATGCCCTTTATATCCTTCTCTTGCCTGACTGTATTGGCTAGAACTTCCAGCACTAAGTTGAATAGTAAGTAGTAGTGGTAGAGGACATCCTTGTCTGGTTCCAGTTCTAAGTTCAGTTTTACTCCATTCAGTATGATATTAACTGTGGGTTTGTCATAGATGGTTTCAATCAGTTTTAGAAAAATGCCACCTATCCCTATATTCTTAAGTGTTATTGTTAGAAAAGGATGCTCAATTTTATCAATTTTTTTTGTGTGTATCTAATGAGAGGATTATATGGTTTTGTTTTTTTTTTTGCTTTTATTGATATGGTGAATTACATTTATGGATTTGCATACGTTAAACCAGCCTTGCATCCCTGGGATGAAGCCTGTTTGATCGTGAGGTATAATTGTTTTAATGTGTAGCTGTAATCTATTGGCTAAGATTTTAAGTATTTTTGCATCAACATTCATTAGTAAAATTTGTCTGAAGTTCTCCTTTTTAGTTGGATCTTTTCCTGGTTTAGTATCAGGGTGATGTTTGCTTCATTGAATGTGTTGGGGAATCTTCCTTCCTTCTCAATGTTTTGGAATAATTTCTGCAGTATAGGTACAAGCTCTTCTGGGAAGGTTTGATAGAATTCTTGTGTGAAGACATCTGGTCCAGGGCTTTTTTTTTTTGTTAGATTTCTTATTGTTTCTTCAGTCTCAGTGCTTGATATCAGCCTGTTCAAGAGATCTATTTCTTCTTGGTTAAATCTAGGAAGATGGTATGATTCCAGGTATCGGTCCATTTTGTCCACATTGTCAAATTTCTGAGCATAGAGTTTTTTGTAGTAGTCAGAGATAATCCCTTTATTTCTGTGGTATCTGTTGTTATTTCTTCTTTTATGTTACTGAGGTTATCAGAGATTTTACTTTCTGTTTTTAGTTAACCTTGCCAAAAGTTTATTGATTTTATTTATCTTTTCAAAGAACCAACTTTTTATTTCATTAATTTCCTGAATGATTCTTTTGTTTTCAGTTTCATTTATTTCTGATTTAATTTTGGTTATTTCTTTTCTACATTTGGGATTAGATTGCTCTTCCTTTTCCATTTCTTTAAGGTGATTTATTAGGTTCTTGATGTGCTCTTTTTCTGTTTTGGGGGATGTAGGCATCTAGTGCGATAAATTCCCCTTTTAGGACTGCTTTGGTAGTATCCCACAGGTTTTGGTAACTTGTAGCTTCATTGTTGTTATGTTTGAGGAATTTAACAGTTTCCTTCTTTATCTCTTCCTTGACTCAACTGTCCTTCACAATAAGGTTATTTAATTCCTAGGTTTTTGTGTGAGGATGAAAATTTTTGTTGGCGTTGAGTTCCACCTTATTGCCTTGTAGTATATGAAGATACAAGGTATAATTTCACTTCTTTTAATTTTGTTGAGGTTTGATTAGTATCCTACAATGTCTGTTTTGGAGTATGTTCTATGGGCTGATGAGAAGAATGTATATTCCTTAAGGTTTGGGATGGAGTGTTCTGTTATGTCTATTAAGACCATTGTTCTAGAGTCACATTTAAGTTTCTTATATCTTTGTTTAGTTTCTGTTTAGACAGTCTTTCCAGTTCTGTCAGAGGGGTGTTAAAAGTCCCCAGCTATTATGGTTTTATGGGATGATGTCATATTGCTCAGACCAATCAAGGTGTGTTTCATAAATCTGGCAGCATTTAGGTTGGGTGCATAAATATTTGGAATTGAAATGTCCCCTTGTATTGTTCCCTTGACCAGAAGGAAGCAACCTTCTTTATCTTTCTTAACTTTACTTGCTTTAAATCCACCTGTATCTGAAAATAAGATTAGGATTTTATTTTTAGAATCTTCTTTCAGACCATAGTTATCTCTTTTTCTAATTATTTTCTTCAGTGTTGTCCTCACTGTTTGTCTATATAGGTGCTACATTTCTTGCACTGAAAAAGTAGAAAGAAAAGTTTGTGTATATCCTATTTTAACATAATGGAAATTCTTCAAAAAGAAGTTTCTGAAAAAGTTTAGCTATGTTTTCTTTGTGTGAGGCAAGCAGGGTTGAGTTCTTCATTGTTTCCTTCTCCTTTCTTGGTATTTCTGCTTTAAAAAAATTTTTTTTTACTCTTTTTGATTAAGCATAGTTTGCTTCTAAAACATAATGTGGAAAAAATTTAAGTTTTTAGAAGAGAGAACTTATTAGTTTTGATTGGAAAGATTTTTTTGGAGGCTTTGACATTGTATTGATAATTTACCATTAAAGAATAGATTGGATTTGAAAATATATTTTAGGTGAGCAAAAGAATCTTGGAGATAATAAAATATTGGATATATTTGAGAATACTCATTCTGTTAGCACTTTTCCATACTTTTTCACATGGATATTTTCTAACTACTTTTAAACATGCAGAGTTTCAAAAATTGAGCCTCAGTATTCATTGGTATCATGCGTTTCTTGAATAGCTCTTCATTTTGATTTTGTCTTTATCTTGTAGCACTTTGCTTTTTGTCTCCTTTATTTTTCAACAGATCTGTTAAGCCTTTATTTCTATCACTCAAAATTTTGTTTCTAACATCTACAGTTGTTTCTTTTTTTTTTATCCAATATGCTTTTGGATTTCTTTATTAATAATAATTTTGCTTATTTTAAATTTTTTTTTTTATACTATACATTTTTTCCTTTGGTGTCTGTAAAATGTGTTGGATTTGGTGGCTTTTCTTCATTGTCCTTTTTCCTTTGGTATCTTGATTTTTAGCTGTCTAGTCATCTTTCTATTTAAGAATCTCTCTTCTCCTGCCTGTTGGTTTATTATTATTATTATTATTATTATTACCATAGTCTGCTTCTGCTGTCCGTGGGAGTTGTCCTTACCTGAAGCCACACTGTCCTTTCTTTGTGCTCAGCCATTCAATGTCATGGGTAAAGTCAACACAAGTGGAGATTGGGAAATAGCTATTTGTTCCAGGTTCTCAATTGGTCGTCCTCAGGCTGATTCCCCTCCTTCTTCTTTTTTTTTTTTTTTGAGACGGAGCCTCAAGCTATCCCCCTGGGTAGAGTGCTATAGCATCACAGCTCACAGCAACCTCCAACTCCCGGGCTCAAGCGAGTCTCCTGCCTCAGCCTCCCAAGAAGCTGGGACTACAGGCGCCGCCACAACACCCGGCCATTTCTTTGGTTGCAGCCATCATTGTTGTCTGGCGGACCCGGGCTGGGGATTTGAACCCACCACCTTAGGTGTATGTGGCTGGCGCCTTAGCCGCTTGAGCCACAGGCGCCGAGCCCCCTCCTTCTTCTTATATGCACATGTTACTTGGCTCTGATTCTTAGGGCTTCTCCAGACCTTTCTCTTTTTTGACACAGAGTCTCACTTTTTTTTTCGAGACAGAGTCTCACTCTATCCTCAGTAGAGTGCCATGGCGTTATAGGTCATAGCAACCTCAGTCTCTTGGGCTCAAACAATCCTCTTGCCTCAGTCTTCCGAGTAGCTGGGACTACAGACCTCTGCTGCAATGCCCAGCTATTTTTAGAGATGGGGTCTTGCTCTCACTCAGGCTGGTCTTGAACTCCTGAGTTCAGGTGATCCACCTGCCTCAGCCTCCCAGAATGCTAGGATTACAGGCATTCCAGAATGATTTTTATCTCTTAAAAGAAGCCTTTTAATGGGCTGTGGTATTCTCTGGTAGTTTGTTAATGGCTCTGAACCTTCTATTTCAATCCTTAGAAGATGTCTCAACATATTTATCTTACTACTAGTATTATTCCTTTTTGATTCCCAGCCTGTTATTGTTTTCTTTTCTATTAAAAATATCTCTCATTTTAAATAATTCTGATTGGGGAAAGAGGTGCTTAGTCTGTCATGTGATTTAACTTGTGTAGTATTTTAGCAGCATTTTAGTGATAAATTGACCTAATTGCAGGCCAATCTAAGAGCTATAGAATTTTTGTTTTAGAGGATAATTATGAAGCAAGATTGATGACCCATGTATGTTTTCTACTGGGGAATTCAGAGTGTCTTACATTCAGTAGCTTTTACAGCAATTTCTCAAATATCTCTTAATTAGAATGTGCATCATTCTGCCAAAGAGGAAAATAGCATTTGCAATTTAAACAATTAATTCACTTTTGAAAAATCCTTAAGTACTTTTTAATATGTTAATTAACTCATTTAATCTGACGTTACTTTCAGAAATTACTAATCTAATTTGGGGAGCTTTAGCCAAGAGAATACTCATCCGATGCTCTAGAATAGTATCACAGTATCTAAGTAAAAAACTAATCTTTCCAGTATTCCATATTTTTGAACGTTAATTATCATATTTATCTTTATGTAACTAAAACTATGCTCGGCTGAAACTTTGCTGTTGTGTCTTCTTTTCTTAGCTTGGCCCTGTTAAAAGGAATTTTCAGAATATTGAAGAAACTACAAATGATGATGAAAGTGCAAGTAACACTGACCAAGAGAAGACCATGCAAGTCACTAAAAATAAACCGAGGAATACACACTCAGCAACTGAAAATCCAAATGATGATGTTAGTATAGTGGAAGACAAGCACGGAAAGCCAAATAAAAAGGCAATGAAGACAGTGTCCCAGGTGACAGCACAAGAAATGGAACCAGAAACCCCTGAGAAAAAAGTGCAATCTACACATCAGAAAACACGTACAAAGTCACGGCCAGCTGTGGATCATCAGGAAATTGAGAAGGCAAATGAAGGAAGAGAAAATAATAATTTAGAGGAGGAAGATGAACTAATGCAAGCATATCAGCTCCAAGTAGCTGAAGAAATGGCAAAGGAGATTAAGAAGAAAATTAGAAAGAAGCTGAAAGAACAGTTGACTTACTTCCCCTCAGATACTTTATCACATGATGACACATTAAACAGTGACAAAAGAAAAAAGAAAAAAAAGAAAGTTCCAATTCTGTCTAAAGATGAAACAAGGTACTTTACATTGATAAATGTTCTGTTTAAAAAACGCTTTTGTTTTCAGTTTTTGAATGTTACCTGTACTTTAACAGAAAATTTTTAGTCTTTTATTTGGAGACATTGCCACTAAGATAATAACAGCTAACCTTTATATAACTCCTTACTATGTACTATATGCTTTTTAGGAATTGACCCCTTTATTTCTTTTAATAGTCCTATGAGGAAAAGTAATATTATCATTCTATTTTTCTGTCAAGGAAATTAAAATCATAGAATGAGTAAGACACTGAACCAGAACCTCAGCAGTCTAACTCTGCATTAGACTCTAGTCTCCACCCATAACTCTACTCACTTATATCTGCTTTTAAAATAATAGGAAACGAATTACTTCCCCCTCTTTTGGGACTTACAAATGCATGTTTGGATTTACAAAGCTTTTTTTCTTATCATGTTAAGAACATTTGTTCATTGTAGAGCTATTTAAAGATAATCACTTTTAGCAATTTGGTATTCCTCTAGTCTTTCTCTATATGCATGTCTATAAGGGTATAAGTCTCTGGGAGTGTATTCATACTTTTATGCTCTCTCCTTGGAGGAAACAGTAAGATAAAAATGCCTTTTGAGTGATGTAGTTAAATTTTTTCCTTGTGTCGTTCTCCTTTAAAGAAACAATTTGAGTTGGGAAAATTTTGTTAATATAGGTGACTGTTCCTTGGCATTCAAGAGTAATTTTCCCTTAAGCCCTCAGCTAAAAATAATTTTCTATTACTAAAAGCTAGATGACCAGCAGTACAGAGAAGGCAAATCGGGTTGCTATGCGTTAGTTATCTGTTGCTGCGATAACCGATTAGAAAATTACCGTAGAATTTAGTAGCTTAGAACAACAAACATTTATTTTCTCACAGTTTCTGTGGGTTAGCAATCCTGGAAAAACTTAGCTAGGTGCCTCTGATTCTCACAGGGAATTCACAGGCTGTAGTCTAGATGTTAGTTAGGACTAAAATCATCTTCAAGCCTGGTCTGGGGAAGGATCTGCCAAGTGACATAATTGTTAGAAGGTCTTGGAAGATCAGTTTGTAAGATTACTTATGTGACATTGGCAGATCTCAGCTTCTGACTGGCTGTTGACCAGTCCTTGCCCCTTGGAGTCCTCCCTTTGGTCTGCTCGCAACATGGCCACTTGCTTCTCCAGAGCAAGGGCTCCAAAAGGAGCAAACAGAAGTTATAGTCTTTTTGGAACCTGATCTTAGAGTGGGATCCATTACTTTCACTATAATCTATTAGAAATGGTTATAATCTAGGTCTGGCCATACTTAAAGGGAAGGAGAAATTAGGAGTTGGATGTGAGGAGGGGCCATCTTAGAGACTGCTTATCCTACAGCAGCCATCTTCAAACTACAGCCTGCAGGCCACATGCGGCCCGCCTACAACATTTATCTGGCCTGCCAGGTGTTTTTGCTGCCACTGCCTGTCCTGCTTAGCAGCCAACTTGTCCCAGGGCCCACAGTCCGGCCCTCCAACAGTCTGAGGGACAGTGAACTGGCCCCCTGTTTAAAAAGCTTGAGGACCCCTGCCCTACAGTATATGTAAATCTTTCTTATTCTCAGCTACCACATCTGTAAAGGAGGGGTAAGCATACTTACTATAAAACAGGGCTAGTTCATGAATTTTACATAAAAACATGCCTCACATGATAGTGGCATGCAAAGGGTAGCTGTTCTTAAATAGTATTTGATGATGTGATAAAATAGAATGGCTTTCTAGAATGACTGATTTGAAATATTTCTCTTATCTTTTTATTTCTCAGTGCTTTTTGAAAATGATTAAAGATATTAGAAGTCAATTTTTTGTAAGTTAAATTCAGATTTTATACTTGATAAATTATAAACTTCAATAGCCTTGTTTCTCTTTAAGCTCAGTGTGCTTCTGGGTGTTTCTGGGCTGCTACCCCTTACCATTTATTAGTTCGTGGGATGTATATTTTAATTTTAAGAATAGTCTTCAGAAAATGTAGTGACATCAGCCATTGGAAAACATGAGAAATGAATTTTTACCTAGAAATCAAAAGTTCTGTGTATGAAGCCTCTTGAAATCAGAACATAGAGCACTTTTTGCCTTTAAATAAAGTAATTTAGAAATTTGTTCATTAATCATTTGCTTGGCAGCAGGATAAGAATGTTTTGATCAATGGTATGTAAAGACAGATCCATTGTTCAAAAATACAATTTCATTTTTCCTTAGGGTTTTGAGTTCAGATTAAGTTGGCACATGAGATATATAACTCCTCACCAAGTACAAAATAGTACCTATGATAACCAAGTTTGATAGCTATCCATTTTTGTGTATAAGAAAATACACATAGGGCAGTGCCTGTGGCTGCAAGGAGTAGGGTGCCAGCCCCATATACCGGAGGTGGCGGGTTCAAACCTGGCCCTGGCCAAGAACTGCAAAATAAAAAAAAAAGAGAGAGAGAGAAAACATACATAGGCATCTCCCAGCAGAAAATAATATCAATTTTAGAATTTTCCTTGCCTCTATTTACTGTTCATGTGTTGGATCATGGATAATAATCATAATAATCATAATATATTTGTAATGACTTTTACTTGGGTTATTTTGCAGTACATTGACTGTCTCTGATAACACAGTTGAAGATGAACAGAAGAAAGAATCTCCAGTTGAAGCAGTTACTGCAGATCCTCATCAAGATGATGAAATAAGTGCAAGGGAACAAGATGTGTCTGACAACAAGCAAGATAACATAAACTCTAAACCAAAAAAAATAAAAAAGAAGGCTAAAGCAGGTTTGTTCAAATTAAGTGAAAAAGCATGTGCCTTGCTAGAAATAACCTGATTCTAGGAATTTTAGTCCTTAAAACTAAAACTGAAGGATATAACTGAAAATAATGCAATACAGAATATTTAGTACTTGTTTTTGGATTCATCTAGGTTAAAACATTGATTTATTTGTAACTATGGGTTTCCGTGATGAGTTTGCATTATTAAGTCATCTCTAATTCTTGACTTAATTCAATCCTTGAGTTATATTGACGTTCTAGTTGCTATTGTGGCATAGAAATTTCTTCTTTAAACCATTGAGTTTACAGTCCCTACATGGTTAAGATTCAGTTGTTGTAAGCTATGGTAAACAGCTGGTTAACAGTTTGATATTGAGGATGCATCCCTCCATCAAACATGGTATCATCCCAGTTCCTCAGCCTAACGCAGATTCTCTCTCCTTTCTTTTTCCCCTGTTTCTATCTTCCCCTTTTCTCATTTCTTTTCTCTTATTTTTCTTGACCTGTTCTTGCCTTTTTTTCTTGTTATTTTTTTTTATTTTGTTTCAGTTTCTATTTCTTGGGGGTCGTTGCACACAGACCCTGACTGGGTTTGAAAGCCATCTGGGGACATGAAGAAAAATAACTTATACCAGTTTAAAACATACTGTCTGAGAATGCCTGGAGAAGGCTTACATTATCTCAGGCCAGGCAGTAAGACTGAGCAAATGCAGCCCATCTCTGGCCTCCTCAGAAGGTTTTTATTGATTTTTAACAAAGATGCATAGGCATCTTTGCCAGAATATAAGATTGAAAGAATCCCAAGTCCCCAGGAAAATTGGATAGAGAGAGAGGCTGGGTAAAAGTCAGGAGGTTGCTAACAGATAACCGATAGTGAATTTAGAAAGGAGGAGGGAAAAACTATTTCTACCCCTGCAGGGGAAGTAAGCCAGTTTTCCTAATCTATCAAAATCTAATATATCGAAAGTTCAAAGAATTTAACGCCTCCCACCTGTTGACTCAGGTCACTGGCCTAGTCCCACCCGTCTGAGTGCCTCTTTTCATCTTGGGTGGTTTTGATGAGCCCCCAGGGATCTATGTGCCTTTCCCCTGAATACCCTAGGATTGAGGTGCCCTGCTGAGAAGTCAACTTATCTACCTCCCATGTCCATTTAATTGGCTCAAAATTGGAAAATGGGCAATTTTAGAATTTGTGGTACTCATTGGAGGATGCAATTTATGGTATGATGGGGCTCCTATAATTAAATTTTTAAAAACTTCTGTTGAAGCCAAGCACAGTGGCTCACGCCTGTAATCCTGGCATCCTAGCAACTTGGGAGGCTGAGGTGGGTGGATTGCCTGAGCTCTCAAGTTAGAGACCAGCCTGAGCCAGAGCGAGATCTCATCTCTAAAAATAGCCAGGCCTTGTGTCAGGTGCCTGTAGTCCCAGCTACTTGGGAGGCTGAAGCAGAGAATCACTTGAGCCCGAGTTTGAGGTTTCTGTAAGCTATGACGCCACTGTACTCCGTGTCAAGAAAAACAAACAAACGCATAAAGAAAACTTCTATTGACACATGATGTATGTGTATATGTATATATATACACACACATATATAGAGAGAGAAAGGTATACCTATCATAAATTTATTGCTTTGTGAATTTTTTTTTTTTGAGACAGAATCCCATTATGTCACCCTCGGTAGAGTGATGTCACATCACAGCTCACAGCAACCTCAAACTCTTGGGCTTAAGTGATTCTCTTGCCTCAGCCTCCAAAGTAGCTGGGACTACAGGCACCTGACACAATGGCTATTTTGGGGTTGTAGTTGACATTGTTGTTGAGCAGGCCTGGACTGGGTTCAAACCTGCCAGCTCTGGTATATGTGGCTGGTGCCCTAGACGCTGAGCTACAGGCACTGAGCCAAGAATATTTTTTTAGTGGTTGGGATTCATTGAGGGTACAAAGAATTAGATTACACTGATTACATTTGTTAGCTAAAGTCCTTATAATCACATTCCACCCCCAGGAGGTGTGCTATACCTGTGACCCCCATCCCCCTCTCCCCATTTTTTCTGCTCCCTCATTCC